GGACAGATGGAGAGAGAAGACAGACAATGGACAGGCGGTTTGAGGAAGTTTGGGGGGAGAAGGGGCTGATCTCTCTCTCTCTGTCTTTCTCTCTGTCTCTGCTTTGGAGGTCGAGGGGGATTCCCCAGGAAACCCCAGGACATGGGGATCCTCCCTCCTCTCCCCCTAGCCAGGACAGATTGAGCGCAGGTCTCATTGGTTCCCGCCTGGCAGGCAGCCAGGGTGCCATGTCTATGCTCAAACTTCACTGCTGGAGAGGAGTGGAGCTGGGAGGCAGAGGGACCGTGAGCTCGGGGGCTGGTCCCTGGTGCCCTCCCCTTTGCTGCGTGGGTCTGGCTTTCCAGCCCCTCCCAGCAGGGAGCATCCAGACAGCCCAGAACGCACTGCACAGCCTTGTGCTAAATTTGGACACAAGAAGCCTGAAACATCCGGTGGACAGCACCCAGGCCAAGTGCCCAGGCAGCTGGATGCACCGGAGTCACAGAGGGACACGCCCACCCCTCTGATCTGAAGGGAGAAATGAGCATCCCTGGCCCTTTGGGCCCTGGGGGCGAGATCCCATGAGCCTCACTGCTCAGAGGACCCTTGGAGGCCCTCCCCTCCCTTCTTCCCTTCCTCCCTCCCCTCCCCCGTGCTGGCTGTAGATCCATCTCGGAGCCACACCACACTGCCTCGCTGAGCCCTGGGGTTTGACACTCTCTCTGTGCAACTGCAGCTGTCCTATATTTGTCAGAGCACACTTGACCGAAGTGTCATATCTACAGGAAATAGCCTTAGCTAGGCAGAGGGGGAGCTACCCTCTCGCTCCCCACTCCTGCGCTTTCACTTTGCTAGCAATGGACAGCGTGCTGCGAGGTAGGGGGCGAACGGTGCTGGGGGGCAGCCGGGGGCAGGGGCTGGCCCTTTGGAAATGGAGAGGGGACCGTGGGCTGGGGGCAGGGTTCAGTATCACGCTGATGTTTTCTTTGCACTGAGGCAGTGCCTGGCGGGCCCCGGTGGTGCCACTCATATGCGGGTTAGGGGACGCGCCTTGACCCCGGAGCAAGGCCTAGTGGACGGAGAAGCTGGATGTTACCTCAGCTAGGCTGAAGGAGGCGGCCGTGTCTGGGGGGGCCATAGGAATAGAGGGTAGGGGACCAGCTCCTCCCCTGGTATTTATCTTCCTTTCCTTTGTCACTGGGCTCTCCCTGGAATACACAGTGAGGAGCTGTCCTTCCTGCAGGTGGATGCTGCCCATTGCGCGGGTGCTGCATCGCAAGGTAAAGCCTTTTTCACTCCTGAGGTAACGCGACGACCAGCTCTCCGTGGGGCGGATGCAGCAGCTCCAGCTCAGCATGTCCCCTAGAGTCACGTCGCTGGCAGCTCGGGCGGGTCGGGGTTCAGGGGACATGGCCGTAAAGCCCAAGCCTTCCAGGCATGGGGTGGCCAACTGCCCATTGCGCGGGTGCTGCATCGCAAGGTAAAGCCTTTTTCACTCCTGAGGTAACGCGACGACCAGCTCTCCGTGGGGCGGATGCAGCAGCTCCAGCTCAGCATGTCCCCTAGAGTCACGTCGCTGGCAGCTCGGGCGGGTCGGGGTTCAGGGGACATGGCCGTAAAGCCCAAGCCTTCCAGGCATGGGGTGGCCAAGTGACAATTTCTAGAACCTCCATTACCTAATGGATTAGATTACAAATTCTAGAAGAGTTCTAGACTTGTTCTTGCATCCTAGTTATAAAGAGAACTGGTCATGGACAATGAGATTTGCTGAGTAGTACTAAGCCACTCCGCACTGGACAGGGAAAGATGGAAGGAAATAGTAAGGGAGGCATTGGACACCAGAGCCCATGGTTGTTGATGATGATGATGATGAAGTTCTGGTTACCTCATCTAAAAAAAGAAATAGTGGAAATCAATGTTCTCTCTAATTTTTTACATCAGTGTGTGGAATGAATTTTGTTATGTGCCCCAATATGAAGGTGATGCATCACACATGGGGCACAAGGCAGGAACAACTTGCCCAAGTTCACCCAGCCTGCAGACCATTGCCAGGAATTCAACCTAGGTCTCACTCCAGTGCTCTTTCCATTAGGCAATCCTGCCTCCATTGCCATAGGGAATAACCTCTTTTATCTAGTTTCCCTAGGCCCCCTCTTGCCTCCCCGATTCATATCCCTCCTTATGACACTCGTGTGTCCTACAGCCGAGTCAGTCGAGCTCTTTTTCATAGATATTTTCAAACAAAACCGTCCAGAAAAACAATGGTTCGGTTAAGCGGTGTGGGGGCCACGGCTCGGAAGAACATCGCTAATTACTGCAAGCCCTCTCCTCCCATTTGGTTTGTCTGTCTCTTGTCAGCTTCTCTGGTGACAGGAGCCAGGCAGATATCAAACAGAAGAATCTGCAAGGCAGGGACCATGTCAATCGATCTGATCTCGGAGCATGCTGGCGAGCACAGCACCATGTAACTAATGACAATGGGGCTGGCCGGGCCTTGCTCACAAACTCTGGGTCTACCCGCTCGCCACAGGTGGGCTCAGGAAGGAATTTGCCCCCCAGCTCAGACTGGCAGTGTCCTGGGGGTTTGTCGCCTCCTCCTGCTGCGTGTAGGTGCAGGTCGCTTGGCAGGATTATCTGGGCATCTCTCACATCATCATTTCCTGGCCACCACAGCACTTCAGGCCTTCCTGTTCTCTGCCCCCGAGGCACCCCATGGTTAGACTCCCATGCACCGTGAGGCTTTGGTCGTCTTTTGGTTGCGGGGTGTAGCACGCGAGTGCTGGTCATCTGGGCAAGACTGGAGGGCAGCCTGTGTGATCCGGGGGGGTTTCTTCTGCCCCTGAACTCTGGGGTGTTCATTCATAACAACTTTCAGCTGGAGCATTTTGGGGGTGCTTCTGCACAATGAAACCGAACGGCATAGTGAATGATTCTTGAGCGGGGTGGTTTGTTCTAACAGCTGGCTTTGCTGCGGATGCACGACCAGCTGTGCTCTTTGATAGTGGAGGAAACTGCCTCCCCGGACCAGGCACATTGGAGAGGTCCTGGATCCCGTCTCTGGCAGTGTCCTCTGCATGAGGTTTCAGATAAAGGCACCCCCCCCCCCTTTGAATGTAAGAACATAAGAACGGCCAGACTGGGTCAGACCAAAGGTCACCTAGCCCAGTGTCCTGTCTGCCGACAGTGGCCAATGCCAGGGGCCCCAGAGGGAGGGAACAGAACAGGGAATCATCCAGTGATCCATCCCCTGTCGCCCATTTCCAGCCCCTGACAAACAGAGGCTAGGGACACCATCCTTACGCATCCTGGCTAATAGCCATTGATCGACCTAACCTCCATGAATTTATTGAATTCTTTTTTGAACCATGTTAAAGTCCTGGTCTTCACAGCATCCACTGGCAATGTACCTTGGTGCTCAGTTGTGCAATACTGTATGGGGGAAGAAACATTCCTTCTGGGTAACTTTTGACCAGCCTATACACTAAGGACTCGATTCTGTACCATTGACTTCAATGGGATTGTTGTCCTTGACGTCAGTGGCAGCAGGACAAAGCCTTAAAGCACAAGGGCTGATGAGTTTGTAACTTCAGAACAGCTAGTGAACTGGGCGTTATACTCCTGTGCATCATAAGTTGGGGTTTTGAATCTTACTGAATTAGTTTTATAATATCCTGATGAGGTGAGTTCCAGGGGTCAATGCTTCCCTTGTGCAAAAACTCTGCCTTTGTATCTGCATAGAATGTGTTGCCTTCCTTCTCCATATAGATGGGGAAAGGGAAGGGAAGTTCTCCGATGGCATTCATTAGTGCCCGTTTCTCCAGCAGATCCCTTCTGTCTCTTCTCCCTCCAAATGATAGGCAATGGCCCAGCCTATCATATGACTGCTGCTTGTAACAGTGCCTTAAAACAGTTTTCATCTTTCTCCCTTGCCGTTAGCATATCTGTTTTCATTAAGATGTAGCTGTGTAATTACCCTGGCCTGCAAAGCGCTCTGGGATACAGTTTGCATCACATGAAAGGCATTCGACAAAATAAAGCTGTGTTTTTAAAGGCCTGGTTAGAGCATCTCATACTATCATTAACTTGGCGCATTCGGGAAGAGGGAAAACAAAAGTGATTTTAACATCAAGTGAAACTGACATCAAATGTGATTCACAGGCATCCAGTGCTAATGATGTGAAACAGGCTAAGTATTGGGCATGTTGAAATGAGCAGAGCCAAGCAGTAACTTACTGAAATTTCCAAATGTGACCGTCCAGGCTGTCATCCAGACTTAGCCAGGTTTGGGGTCATTTTGAAAGCCTTCCATACTAGGGCAAAAGTCACTCAACTATTAGAGCTTTCTGGATGCAAACTATGCCACCCGCGGAAAATACGTAGTTATATATTTTTATTCTAATACGTGACTCTGTAGAAAATAATTTGCCAACCAGGAACACATGATTAATATATCACCAGAGAGAACCCCTGGATTCATCCTGTAAAGTTCAAGTCCATGTTTGACTTTCCAGAACTTACAATGTAGCAAGGGGCTTGAATCCAGAGATGTGATCTGGATCCATTTCTACCTGGATCGTTTCACCAGGACACCAGAAAGAATTGCTCTGCTGCTGTTGTGGATGTGTTGCATAAAAGGATGGGGACTAAATTAGCTGTTACCATTCAAGAGAGACATCTTAGAACCATTGTAGATAGTTCTCTACTCCATGTGCAGCGGCAGTTAAAAAAGCAAACAGAATGTTAGGAATCATGAAGAAAGGGATAGAGAATAAGAGAGAGAATATTTTATTGCCTCTATATAAATCATAGTATGCCCACATCTTGAATATTTTATGCTGATGTGGTCACCTTATCTCAAAAGTTATATCAGCTTGGAAAACGTTCAGAAAAGGGCAAGAAAAAAGATTCGGGGATGTGGAATGGCTGCCCTATGAGGAGGCATTAATCAGACTGGGATTTTCAGGTTGGAAAAGAAATGATTTGGCAGGGGGCATGAGAGGGGTCAATACAATCCTCACTGGTGTGGAGAATGTGAAGAAAGAACACAAGAACTAGGGGTCACCAAATGAAATGAACAGGTAGCAGGGTTAAAACGAACAAAAGGAAATATTTCTTCCCACAATGCACAGTCAACCTGTGGAACTCCTTGCCAGAGGATGTTGTGAAGGCCAAGGCTACAACAGGGTTCAAACAAAGAGCTAGAGTAAATTCATGGACAGGTCCATCAATGGCTATTAGTCAGGATGGGTAGGAATGGTGTCCCTAGCCTCTGTGTGCCAGAAGCTGGAAATGGGTGACAGGAGATGGATCAGTGGATGATTGCCTGTTCTGTTCACTCCCTCTGGGGCACCTGGCATTGGTCACTGGCAGAAGACAGGACCCTGGGCTAGGTGGACTTGTGATCTGACCCAGTGTGGCCGTTCTTATGATGGAGCAGATGACAGAGCAGCCTAAGATGTTTCGGATGCTTATTGGAACCAAAGTCCTGAGCCTCAGCTCCAGCCGAGCCATAGTCAGAGAAGGGCCTACACTAAGGGTGGCTTAATTGGCCTGTGCACAGCCAGGACACCTGCCTCCGTTTCCTCCATTTGCCCATAGCTCGGAACATTGTCTCTCAGGGTATGGCTACACTACAAAGTTAGTTCGAACTAACGGACGTTAGTTCAAACTAACTTTCATAGGCGCTACACTAGCGCTCAGTTAGTTCGAACTTAATTCGAACTAACAGAGCGCTTAGTTCGAACTAGGTAATCATCATTCCATGAGGATTAAGCCTAGTTCGAACTAGCTAGTTCGAATTAAGAGGTGTGTAGCCCCTTAATTCGAACTAGTGGGAGGCTAGCCCTCCCCAGGTTTCCCTGGTGGCCACTCTGGCCAACACCAGGGAAACTCTACTGCCCCCCTCCCGGCCCCGGACCCCTTAAAGGGGCACGGGCTGGCTACGGTGCCCGTGCCAGGTGCAAGCCTGCCAGCACCCAGCCAGCAGACCCTGCACCTGGCACGGCACAGAGCCCCCCACCCGATGTCCCCCAGCCCTCCCCCTCTTCCCGGGACCAGGCTGGCTGCTCCCGGGAGCTTGCCCGGGACCTTGTCCACGATCTCCGCACTAGGCACAGGAAAGTGGCCGGCTAGGGCAGGAGAGCTGCCAGCCTGGCCACCCAGGAGCAGGTGTGCAAGAGAATCAAGGGGGTCCACTGAGCCCCCCGACCCTGAGCCCTGAGCTTACAATGGCCGTCCTGGGTCAGACCAAAGGTCCATCTAGCCCAGTAGCCTGTCTGCCGACAGCGGCCAACCCTAGGGACCCTGGAGGGGATGGACCGAAGACAGTGACCAAGCCATTTGTCTCGTGCCATCCCTCTCCAGCCTTCCACAAACCTGGGGCAGGGACACCACTCCTACCCCCTGGCTAATACCACTCCATGGACCCAACCTCTATGACTTGATCTCACTTCTCTTTAAACTCTGTTCCAGTTCTAGCCTTCACAGCCTCCTGCAGCAAGGAGTTCCACAGGCTGACTCTTTGCTTTGTGAAGAACAACTTTCTGTTACTAGTTTGAAGCCTGCTACCCATTCCTTTCCTTTGGTGTCCTCTAGTCCTTCTTTATGGGAACTAATGAAGAACTTTTCTGTATGCACCCTCTCCACCCAACTCCTGCTTTTAGAGACCTCTATCCTGTCCCCCCTCCGTCTCCTCTTTTCTAAGCTGAGAAGTCCCAGTCTCTTTAGCCTCTCTTCATATGGGACCTGTTCCCAACCCCTGATCATTTTAGTTGCCCTCCCCTCTCCCAGCCTCTCTCTTCCCCTCTCCCACCTCCTTTTCCCAGTCTCCCCCAGTTTTGTTCAATAAAGACAGATTCCATTTTGGAAGACACGTTATCTTTATTTTGTACATCAAGAAGAGGGGCTAGGGAAGGGTAAGTGGAAGGAGGTGAGGGAGGAATGGGGCACGAGCCCCCGATGGGGAGGACTGGGCTGGCTCTGCGGGCTTCTGGGGGTGGAAACTCTCCTGCAGCCCCCCAATTGCCCCCTCTCCCCAGATGGCAGCCTGCGGCAAGTGCAGCCGGGCTGATGGCCGAGTGCTGTGATGTGCCCAGTGTGGGCACTCAGGGCACTCCAAGCCAGGACTGCTTTGCAAGCGGGGCACCCCTGAGAACTGTCTGTCCAGGGTGGGGGTCGGGACCCTTTAAGCACAGCCCTCGGCTAGCCTGAGACAGCAGCTCCATGCTCTAAGTCCTCCTCTGATGCCCTGCCGGCACTGCTTCCGGCCATCCTTAACCCCGCTTCAGGGTCCACTTAAAGTGGACGCGCTAGTTCGAATTAGCAAAACGCTAATTCGAACTAGTTTTTTAGTCTGGATCCGTTAGTTCGAATTAGCTTAGTTCGAATTAACGTTGTAGTGTGGACGTACCCTCAGTGTCCAGTTCAAAGGCCACCTCTGGGGGCAACATCTGCGTGTGCAGTAAATCTGGCAACCCACCCTCCTCAGGCCCCAAGCGCAGCAAGTGCAAGCAGCCGTTGTCCTGTGCCCCCTCCAGGGCCATCACCAAATCACCCACCCGAGAGGCCATCGCCAGGCAGCTGCCAGGTCCTCTGCCCTCACTCCCAGCCCCGCTAGCCAGGCCGGCCCTCAGGCCGTTCTGTCCCGTGACTCTGCTGTCACCGCCAAGGTCCTGATCTCCTGGGATCTGCCCTCAGCATCAACCCTCTGCTTCCGGGCTCAGCTTGCCCTGACCATGCTCTTCCCAGGGCCTCTGCAGGAGGAATCTGGCCAGTCCTCTCCAGCGACTTTCTTCAGCTTCCCAGCAGCTCCCTGGACCTGCTCTCCTCACCTGCAGCTCTGCCTGTCTGTCTCTGGCGGTCTCCCTACTCCAGCCTGTCTCCTCCCCAGGCAGCTCTCACCAGCCCTTCTTGTCTCCCTCCCTAGGGCCCAGCTACCCTCCTGGAAGCCAACTAACCCGTCACGCTGCACTGGCCTCTTCCCTCATCAAGGGCTGGGACCTGGGATGATCATTTCCCCATTCCTCCAGCCTCAGGCTGCCAGGGACCCAGCCTGCTGCAAAGTACAGCAGCCTCCATCAGGACAGTTGGAACTCACACCCGGTCCCAAGCCAGGCCGATGGGGACAGCGCCACAATGCTCCAGCCTTGCCCTTGCCCCCAGGGGCCTGCCTACTACATCCCCTGTGCTGAGGATGGCGGGGGAGGGTGGGTGGAGCTACAGACTCAGGCAGTTTTCTGGCCTCACAAATCTCCCCAATCTCATCGGTGGCTGCAGCCGTGTGACTCCCAGAAGCATCTCGTACATTTCCAGTGTGAAGAAACAACGCAAAATCTTTCCCCCCGCCCACACACACACACACACACACACACACACACACACACACACACACTTTGAGGTTTCTTGCATGTCACTGTTAAGTATCAGCTCCGTATCCGCTGTTGGTTCACGTCAGATGTTTTCCTTGCTCCGTCTCCTCTTTTTGCCAGCGTCACGCCGGCAGACTCGGGCTATCCCGAGCTTGGCCCCAGGCTGCAGTAGCGTCAGGGATGTCACCGTCGTTGAAATCTGCTCAGGTACCATCATCTCTTTCTTGGTCTTATAGGGACTCAGCAATAAAACCATAGTACAGCAGTAAAACAGGGAACTGAAAGATAACGATCAAGTGAGTAAATTACTCCCCCTTCCCTTTGCATCTCGGTGACCAGCATTCAGCCATTAACGCCTCCGCTCTTAGCATGCTCTGCTCCTGCTCCAACGGGGTTCACAAAGCTAGTCTGGGGTCTCCCTCTGCCTTCCCTGGGTGACAGCGGGAGCTATCAGTGCCCGAGCTGCCTCACTGATATCAAAGACACCTGTGGCACTGGGCTGGGGGCAAAGATCTAGAGCTCTGGCTGATGAGTGGGTGGGCTCTGGTGGGCTGCTCCCTGACCGTCCAGGCTCTGTGTGCATTGGCAGCGGCGGTCCAGCAAGTGTGGTGCGGAGGACGAGGAGGAGGAGGAGGAAAGCATGGCCTCTGCTATCCTGGAAAGCATCTTCCTGAAGCGCTCTCAGCAGAAGAAGAAAACCTCCCCCCTCAACTTCAAGAAGCGTCTCTTCCTCCTGACGGAAAGCAAGCTCTCCTACTACGAGTATGACTTTGATCGTGGGGTGAGTCCAAAGGCCTGCCCTAGGGCGACGCAGGGCTCCTCGCTAAGGGGGCAGGGGAGGCTCTGTGGAAGGGCTGGATCTGAGCCCCTGCC